CAGGGGTAAACATGTATAGGCACATCCTTAATGCATGAGCTGGCTGTTTGTAACCTAGGGCTTATGCAGGGATACTTCCCTCAGCCTGGGAGGAGGGGACTGGACCTGCCTGGACTGAATCTACCAGGTTGAGGTGAATCCCCAGGGGAGTCTTTGCCCTGGAGGAGATGGGAATGAGGGGATGGGCTGGGGGGAAGGTGGGGGGGGTGGGAGGGGGAGGACAGGGGAATCTGTGGCTGATATGTAAAATTAAATTAAATTATAAAATTAAAAAAAAGACACTCTGAGGTGTGTTATCTCAGAGCCTTTCTTATCTGAGATTCACCCATCAGGGATTTTCCTCCTGGTGGTCTGATACCCTGAAGTCAATTGCCACCTGCTGCTCCCCTGACATGGACACTGGCATCAGATATATTTAATGTTTGTGTATATCTGGGTATGTTTTTTGGAATTGTCTCCAGAAGAGGGTAGAAATGAAACTTTCACACTTAGTAAGGATAATTAAATCTATTAATGTGTGCTGGCATTATTCAATATATTTAAGCCTTGGCTATAACAGAGGAAAGTAATTCTCTTTCTGAGCTAGAACAGCCACTTTCTCCTGATTTGGATATAGAAGATCCAGGTTTCCTATTTTAGCAGCTTGTTGATGAAAGATAGAGGACTTGCTTAATATCCACATTAATGTAAAATGAGACAACTCCCATAAAAAACCTATTTTTCTTTGAAGAATTTCAAACAGGTATATGTGGGATGTTCTGTATGGCAAATGTGTTGCTCTGATTGGTCAATAAATAAAACACTGATTGGCCAGTGGCTAGGCAGGAAGTATAGGCAGAACTAACAGAGAGGAGAAAAGAAAGAACAGGAAGGCAGAAGGAGTCACTGCCAGCCGCCGCCAGGACAAGCAGCATGTGAAGATGCCGATAAGCCACAAGCCACGTGGCAAGGTATAGATTTACAGAAATGGATTAATTTAAGCTGTAAGAACAGTTAGCAAGAAGCCTGCCATGGCCATACAGTTTGTAACCAATATAAGTCTCTGTGTTTACTTGGTTGGGTCTGAGCGGCTGTGGGACTGGCAGGTGAGAGAGATTTGTCCTGACTGTGGGCCAGGCAGGAAAACTCTAGCTACAGGTATATCATAAGCTATAATCATATATAACCCCCATTTTCTCATCCAACTCCATTAACATCCCAACTCTCCCCCTCTCTCACCTTCATTCATTACAGTGGTGTGTGTGTGTGTGTGTGTGTGTGTGTGTGTGTGTGTGTGTGTGTGTGTGTGTGTGTTTTGATATTCCACTAAGTGTAGTTCAAACTACTATTAAGTGGATGGGTATGGATTCCCCCAGTGAAGAATAGAAAACTTATTAGAGGTCTCATCTTCAATAAAGAATGATTCTCCATATTCCAGCAACTATCTACTACTAATAGGTCCTCAGTAAGGGTGGAGCTTCAAAACAATTTACCTCACTTATGCTTAGATTTTGTCTGGCTTGATCTTTTATCAGCCTTGTGTTTGCAACCACAGCTACTGTGGGATCATACTTGAGATAGCAATGTCATTCCCAGAAGACAGCATTCACAGCACTCCTCTCTATCCTCCATATGTAGCATTCTTTGTGCCTTTTCCTTTGTGATGTTTCCAGAGTCTTTGTATAGTGTGGGTCATACGCATGTCCTGTTTAAAGCTTAGATTTGAGTCTCTTATTCTTAATACTGTGACAATTATGGATTTCTCTATTGACTGCTGTATACTGAAAAAAATCTTGTCTGATGAAGATAGAGAGAGAGGTTCAAGTTGATTGTTATAATCATAAATATGTAAAGGAAATTTGACTGCATAACCATTCAGAAAAGCAACGTATTATACCCTAAGGCCTCTGACCATCCAAGCTACAGGCTTTTGACCAGGTCTTGTATAATATTAGAAGGGCCAGCCTTAATATTATACATCCCAGGGGCTCAGGAGAGAGAACTACTAACGGCAAGGACTATTTTTGGGAAATAGAATCTCAGCACACGGAGCTCTATAGTCCACTTGCTTTAATTCCTCTGGGATAACATCCTATTTACACAGCTTCAGTTCTGTTCTCGTGCCTAGCTCCTTTCTTGCCTGATTTCTCTTTGTATTTATCTACTGCTCCCTCTAAGTTCTATCTTAATTCTCTTGTCTTAATTCTGTCTCATATAGGTCCTTTTCATCTTGTTCTTACCCAGCTAGTACTTCCCCATCTGACTCTTCCTCATCTTCCATCTCGTCCACAGGTACTCTCTGGTCAGAATCCTCCTTATCCCTCTCTGTTCTCCATCTCTCCGTCCTCCCCAAGTCTCTCAGGAGTCCAGTTATAAACCTAAGCAATAGCAATCCCCTGGTCAAGCAAGGTCACCAGGCTTGAATTCTATGGGGACATAAAGGTAGGTAAGAATTTTCCTCAGGCAGTGACCACCAGGCTTTCTTTTCCAATCCATAATGGGAGTGGTGAAAGATTGAGTGCTAATGATCGGTTAGTATATCAAAAGGGGGATCTATGTGCTCACTCTACATTCCTAGTAGTGGTTAGGTAAGAAGTTAGGGGTCACTAGGCAGTGGTGGCACATGCCTTTAATCCCAGCACTCGGGAGGCAGAGCCAGGTGGATCTCTGTGAGTTCGAGGACAGCCTGGGCTACAGAGTGAGTTCCAGGAAAGGCGCAAGGCTACACAGAGAAACCCTGTCTCAAAAAAAAGAAGAAGAAGAAGAAGAAGAAGAAGAAGAAGAAGAAGAAGAAGAAGAAGAAGAAGAAGAAGAAGTTAGGGGTCTATTAGTAAGGTTGTATAAGAAAGGAGGGTCTCACCGTAAACTGCACAAGAAATAAAGCTATCTGCCTGACCTAGGAGACAGGTGGTATTGTCTCGTATGGCCTTGGATGCTTGATAGGCATTTTAGATAAAATGGAGTTCTCGAAAGCATACAAGAAAATCATTTTAGGAACCCGCTAATATATATACCCAAAAGCTAAAATATCACCAAGACTTCTTAAGCCATGGCTTGACCTTTGGAGAAGTCCTTGACTTTTCCAAGTAGTAGCTTTTGTGATAGTAGCTTAATTCCATTATGTTTTCCTGCAGCTTGCAGCAACCAGACTTAACAGTACTGTGTATGACAACCACTCCTGTGTAGAAGGCCTCAAACCTAACCAGAGGAGGTTAGCTACCCCAAAACTTGAGCCACTACCTCATTCATCTCCTTGGGAGATTGGTATTGCAGCATACCCCAACCAGTGCTGTACAAAACCACTGAAATCCTTTTCTCCCCTAGAAGTCTGCATAGACCCTCCCAGCATGATAAAACCTAGCTGGGAGAAAAAACAATTTCATCATCAGTTTGGTGTTGGGTTATTTATGTCCTACAGCTAATTCTGGTGTCTTCAGCAATGGGGTCAGCCCATAAGGACAGGCTACAGATAGATCTTGGGGCCCAGAATGCCAGTCCAAAAACATCATAACAACTTTGTTATAACCTAGACTCTCCTGAACATTACAAAACTGTCAAATGAAAGAAGAGAAACAACTTGAAGTAAAAGAATAAAAGGAAAAATTATTCTGAACCAGTGATCAAAACCCAAATGGACAGATAGCCATGAAAAAACACATGGGGCATAAAAAAAAAGGTAATGTATCTTCCCCTCCGAAATCATCAAATCAATTCTAATGACCTACTCATTCAAATGATTTAGATGAAGTTCCAGATGCAGAATTCCTTTTTTATATTTTTTTATTTTTGAGATTGTAATATAGTTACAACATTTCTTACATTCCTTTCCTCCCTCTAAGCCCTCCCATATACTTTTCCATGCTCTCCTTCAAAATCACATCCTCTTTTTTCACTTCACCTTCACTGGTCCCTTCTACAAGGCCATCCACCTCCCTAATCCTGTCTTATAGCATGTGAGAAGAAACACTCACTGCAAACCACAGATAGTCATGGTATAATAATGGACAAAACTAGACCAGAGTTTCCACTTACATTTGTTTTCATAGTGCTCTAGGATAAATCCCCATGAAGAAGAGGATCCAATATGAAATATTAGCTTTAAAATATGCAATTATGTTCACTCTTTAAAAAGTAGTCTGGTAATAGTATACTCCAGTGTTGATAGGGAGACTAAGAGATGTAATGAACTTATTGAGAAAATTAAGTTAGCTGTTTAAATTTGGCATGGAATATACTTGGTACTTAATAAAACAGAATTCAGTCATTCAAACTTTGAGTCGTTTACTATCCAAGTAAATGGGACTTAGAAAAGATGTTATTTTTCTGTGAGTTTACTGCTGGCAACTATAAACTAACAGCCTAACAAAGACATCAGGTTTTAATTATAATATTAAACTGGGTAGAGAAAACAGGTTTTACAAGCAAGTTGTACAGACTGGAATCAACTGAGCTGTGAACTGGAAGGGAAAAGGATGTAATTTCACCTTCATCTCAAAATAAAAAAGAATTTCCTAAGCAATGCAATTGAATAGTCATTAAAAAAAAAAAAAGCTGAAGTGTCTCAGCAGGGGGCATATTAAGGCACAGAGAGAATAAAGAGGAAGGGACTTCCTTTTAAAAGTACATGTTGCTTTAAAGGTGCTGTTAGTCTTCTTTTGTTTAAACTTGATGCACACCCTGGGCTCCTGTATGTTGCAATACCTTTTGCATACAGAGAAGAGAGTCTGAAGATAATATTTTTGTTATGATACGTTTCATTAAAAACTGGCATAGAAACAGGACCTGGCTCCTAGATTGGAAGTAACTCGGAGAGAGCAATTCTGTTTTGAAAATTCTTTCTTTGTGTGTGAATTATGAAAAGGACAATGGATTTTGGAGTGCTTACTCAGCAAGAGATTGTGCGGTGGAATTTGTACTTAATAAGTTAGGTAACACTTTATAGCAGGTTAAAATTCAACCTCCAGAGATTTGAAAACAATTGCATCTGCTGTCCTGCCAAAGTAGAACGAACAGAGAGAAACATGGCGAGAACCATTTTGCTTCTTGTCGCTGTGGTCCTTGTAGCTTATTATGTTTATGTCCCTCTTCCAGGTGATATTGAGGAGCCTTGGAAACTGCTACTTGAAACGACACATCTAAAAATAATAATGGATTTGGTAAGTTCTGTGTGAACAGTAAGTTCTGAACTTCATCTGCCTTATGAATACTGTATAATTTAATAGAGAGAAAATAGGGGTTGAAAAGTTTCTTAGCATGCTCGGTCTCTTGCTTTAATCCCAGTATAGACAGCGACAGGGAAGAGACTGAGGAGAAAGAAGAGGGAGCAAGGATGGAGGGTGTGCATTTTACAGTAATGCCAGGTGAAGATCTCTAGAAGGATCAACTTCAGGAAAGAAAGAATGGAATAGTATTCTGTTTAATTATAGAAATCTGTGCAAGTACTCTTGGAATCAGGCATGGAAACACATGTTTTCTAGCACAGTATGTGAGAATAACTGATTAAAATAAAAATAAAAAAGCAACACATATGATTCCCGATTGGAGCAGGTGTGTTGCTGTAGGAGAATGAGGTCACCTGGCTTCCTGCTTATTGTTGTTCACAGCTAGTTCTTCCCTAGTGAGTATTAGTACATAGAAATGAAATCATGCACATGTCCTTTAGCCTTCTCTGTAGTAAATGTCCTTGTGGAGCAAAAGACACCAGTCAATGATACTTAGCCTGAATATCAAACATGTGACACACTGTCTTAGTTAGGATTCTATTGCTGTGAAGAGACACCATGGCCATGACTCCTCTTGTAAATGAAAGCATTTAATTGGGGCTGACTTTCAGTTCAGAGATTTAGTCTATTGTCATCATAACAGGAAGCATGGCTGCACATAAGCAGACACAGTGCTGGAGAAGGAGCCTAAATTTATATATATATATATATATATATATATATATATATATATATATATATATATATATATATATATATGCAGACAGCAGGAAGAGAGAGTGACACTGGGCCTGGCTTGAACATTTGAAATCCACCCCCAGTGATATACTTCCTCCAACAAGGCTTTTATATATTCTTTCATTTTATGTAACTCTGAAAAAAATGTAATATGAGCTTTATTTTTATTTTCTTATTTATTTGGCCTTATTTTAGTTACTTTACTAGAATATATATTTGGTATTAGATATGGGTTCGCTTAATTGCTCAGAGTTTCAATACTAGCTTCTAAAGCATTATTATTGAATTGTATATAAAATTGTTCAAATAGTTTGTTGTTTGACTGTGCTATACACACATATTCCTTCACTGAATAATATGAAAACTGTTACCATTTGTCATTATTCTTTCTCAACTATTTTTATAATACTCTTTTCTTTTGATTTATTTTCTTTTATATAATATGTAATATTTTGAGTTTTAGTTTGATTTTTGGTGAAGCTATTTTGACATTTCTTCTTATTCCTTTTTAATTATCATAACATGAAGGCTGGTAGCAGTGTATTTTATTTATTTCTCCCTTCTGATTAGCAATAATCTTACAATATCTTTCTGTCTAGTCCTTGAGTTCATATGATTCTGCTTGCCAATAGTCTATGATATTTTAAGAATTCATTTCTGAAGTAGTGTACAATATTGTTTTATTATATTTGTGATGACATTTTCTTTATGAATACTTGCACTATTTATTTATAGTACATGTCATTTTGCTCGAATGTTATGTGTATATTTCTTGTATTGTTATCATTATAATGCAATAGTTTTTCATGGACAGTTTTCAACTATGTCTTGGAGAATACAGTCAAATATTTATATTCAGTTTTCATATGTAAGGAATCTTAATGCTGTAACGTCTGTGTATACAAATATATGCAATATTTAAAAATATAAAAGATATGTAGTCTCTTGGAACTCCCTGGCCAATAATGCAAAGGGAGGTATCACATGTCTGGGCATTTTGTTTCATAGTCTATAGCTTCTGTAGGGTCTTACTTTTGTGGAGTAATTACACACACACACACACACACACACACACACACACACACACACATATATATATATACATATATATATATATACATTTCATGTATAAAGTCTTCTTACTCAATGTTCTACTGCTGTGAAGAGGCGTCATAACCACAGAAACTCGTATTTAAAAAAGCATTGAATTGGAGCTTGCTCACAGTTTCAGAGGTGTAATTCATTATCATGGTAGGAAGCATGGTGGCATGCAGGCACTTGTGTTGCTGGAGAAGTAGTTGAAAGTTCTATATTCATATCTTCAGGCAGCAGGAAGAGAGAAAAACTGAGACTGACTTGGGCTTCTGAAACCACAATCCCACCAGTGATGCACTTCTTTCAACAAAGCCACACCTACTCCAACAGATAGTGCCACTCCCTAAGCATTCAAATATATATGCCTATGGGAACCATTCTTATTCAAACCACATCTTTTTCTTTCTTTCTTTCTTTCTTTCTTTCTTTCTTTCTTTCTTTCTTTCTTTCTTTCTTTCTTTCTTTCTTTCTTCTTTCTTCTTCCTTCCTTCCTTCCTTCCTTCCTTCCTTCCTTCCTTTCTTTCTTTCTTTCTTTCTTTCTTTCTTTCTTTCTTTCTTTCTTTCTTTCTTTCTTTCTTCATAACTCACTTAGTCTATTTCCTGCTGTCTATATACTCATGAGTTTAAAGCCTTCCACCAGAGTGGATTGATTCTACAGGGACCACACTCTTAAAGAGAACTGATTCTCCCTTTCCCAAAAAGCATCAGCTGTTAGTAGCTCTTCAGTTAATTGTGAGGACTCATGTTCTCATCACTGATCCATGACAGTGTTGTTTGGCTTGAACTTGCTATAAGTCTTATGCAGATAATCAAAGCTGCTGTGAGTTCATGAGTCCAGGAGTCCTGACGTGTCCATAAGACACTGTTTCCAGTCCCACTGACATCCAGCCCTAGCAGTCTTTTTTCTCTATTGTACTTTTTGGTCCTTGAGTCCTGTGAGAAGACAGTGTGATATAAGATCCATTTATGGCTGAGCATTCCACATACTAATTCTCTGCACTTAGGCCATTTTTGAGTTTCTGTGCTAACTTCCCCTCTTTAAATAAGGAATCTTTGTGGAATAACAAGCAGCTATAATTGCATGAATGTACATCTGAGACTGAAGTTCAACTGAGCCACATACCCATTTTGGTGACATTACCTTTTTTTTTTTTTTTTTTTTTTTTTTTGCTAGTATGGCTCTGTAGTATATCTTGAGATTAAATATAGCAATTCCTACAGCATCATCACCATCATTAGTATTGTTGTTGTTAGTGGTAGTACTAGTAATAGTCATATTTTGCTTCATTTTGGTTCTTCTTTTTTTTTGAGACAGGGTTTCTCTGTGTAGCTTTGCGCCTTTTCCTGGAACTCACTTGGTAGCCCTGGCTGGCCTCGAACTCACAGAGATCTGCCTGCCTCTGACTCCCAAGTGCTGGGATTAAAGGCATGTGCCACCACCCGCCCGGCCCCCATTTTGGTTCTTTTAATCATATTCAAAATTGCTTTAGCCATCTGCTGTATTTTGTGTTTCTGTGTGTATTTTAAGCCCTCTCTTTCTATTTCTGTAAAGAATATCATTAGATTTTTAAAAATTTTTAATTGAGAATTTTTATACAATATATTCTGACCTCAGTTTTTCTTCCCCCAGCTCCTTCATTTCATCAGGATTACATTGACTCTGTGAATTCCTTTTGTTGGGATATTTTTACAACATTAATTCTACTAATGCATTTATTATGGATAATATTGTCATATTCTAGTGTTTATTTTGATTTTTTGTTCTTTTAGTATTTAAATTTTTGTCATAGAGGTCTTTTAACTCCTCAGTAAGAATTATTTCGAGGTTTAAATTTTGAGGCTATTGGGAATAGGGTTGTTTCTATTTATTTCTCAGAATTTTTGTTATTGGGATATAGAAATGCTACTGGTTATTATAAGATAATTTTGTATGATTTGTAATTTTTCTCTTTAAAGTCTGTATGATTTATTAGATTTGTTGGCTTAAGTATGTTGAGCCATTCTAAATTTCTCCTGTGAGTACATCTGTACTTATGGTGGTTTTGTTGTTATTGTTTTGGTTTGGGTTTTTTTTAGGATTGTAATATCTTTCTGGTTGAATGTTTCTTTGATCAGAATGAAGTATTAAAGACTTCTTTATCTTTCCTCCTTAATTTTTTGTTTGAAATCTGTTTTGTCAAATATTAGAAAAGAGATCCTTGCTTGTATTCCAATATTCCACTTAATAAAATATTTGTCTGAGTAGTTTAATTATTATAAAACTATGACTTTAAAAGAGCAAAGGAATATTTCATCCAGGGGTTATTCTGTATTTATCTCACTGTATTTATGTTATTTATGTATTAATATATTAGTCTGTGTCAATTATAGTTTTCTTAAGGGAAGCTATAATCTGATGGTTACAGCAATAGCACCATCTGAAATTCGTCTATATGAGGAATTTCTGGGTTTCTGAAAGAAGAGCCAAGTGCTTCTTTGTATCTGTTTGGGGTGACTTTGGGTGACTTGGGCACTAATGAATGTGTTGGGGGCATCTGACTTACGATATACAGCAGTCTCATAGGAACACATCAGAAACAGGCACAGCTTTTCTGGATTGGTACTTCTAATGGTTCATTTGTGAGGTATACATAAGGATTGTCCACCTAGCACCATAAGATAACCCAGAGATCTTGTTATGGGGGCATTCTATGTGATGCAGTGAGAATATCTGATGTTGTTAATACTTACACAAGAAATCTCCTACCAGGAAATGGTTCTTACTGTCCCAAAACAAACACCAATAATGAATTCTTGCATCAACAACAAAATTAAGCCTCTAATAAAGAGGTCTAAAAAATGTGTAGAATTACTGAAAATAACTGAATAGTGCTGTGGGATGTCCTGCATGCTTAAATGTATGTTGCTATGATTGATTGATAAATAAAATGCTAATTGGCCAGTAGCCAGGCAGGAAGGATAGTGTAGGGGGGACAAGGAGAAAGGAGAATGCTGGGAGGTGGAAGGCTGAGGAGAGGAGATGCTGCCAGCCACCACAAGGAGAAGCATGATGTAAGATACCAGTAAGCCATGAACCAAGCGGCAAGGCATAGATGAATAGAAATGGGTTAATTTAAGATATAAGAACAGATAGCAAGAAGCCTGCCATGGCCATACAGTTTATAAGTAATATAAGTCTCTGTGTGTTTACATGGGGGACGAGAGTGGGAGAGATTTGTCCCGACTGCCGGCAGGCTGGGACACAGGGAAACCTCAGCTACAGAATAGTGTCCCTGAGTTTGCCTCATTTTAGCATTTTTTAAAAGTTATTACAAAATTAAACTACTATTTGTGACCCATCCAAGTAAAAATGTTCCTAAGTGTGATTGTGTATACACTTTTAGTATCCTCCTTTGCATAATTCTTCTCTCCCTTCTGAGCCTAAGTTCTGTCCCTCTCTTCTCTTTTTTCTTTCCTTAAGTTCTTTCCTCCCCTCTCTTCCTCTTTCTACTCCTCCTTTCTTTCATTGTTTCTGTCTTGCTCCGTTTATGCTGCTTTTGAAAAATTAGTTATTAAATATCCTTTCCTTAACTGGGCCTAAATGAAGTGTAGGCATGTAAGAATGAACTCTAAAACCTGGGATTGAAAAAGTAACTTCATTTTAGTACTAAGCCAGTATTTAATGATTCAAGACTGTCAAAATGATCCTGGTGTCCAACCATATGCATATGCAGATAATGTGGATGTTTTATTATGACATAAATAAATTTAAATTTTTTTTTCGTATATCTATCAGGGACAATTAACAAACAGGTTTTGATAGATTACAGTATATAGGGGTCAATTTAATGTTACTTTATTCCTGAGCCTTTGTTAAGAGTATAATTATGTTTTGTTTTGGCATTTTACTATCTTGTTAATTTTTTACTTGATAAGTTTTGATTTTCATCTTAGTGTGTTTTTTTTTTCTTTTGGGAGAGAACATAAAGTTGGGTGGGTAGGGATTTGGGGAGGATTTTGAGTTGGAAGAGGGAAAAACATAATCAAAATATAGTATATGAAAAGCACTTTTAAATAAAAATTCCAATATGATTATTAAAAGTAAAACATTCTAACTAATATGAAGTTCCATATGTGAAAAACATTAAAAGAATGTGTGCTATGATTTGATAACAAAATTATAAAAGCACAAAGTGCTTTAGATGGTAGTAGCACAGACTGGCGTGTAAACCAATGGAAGAGAAGACCCAAATGTGAATTCACATTGTAAAGCTATTTCATATTTCACAAGGATGCCAATGCTCATAGTAGAAAAAAGACAGGATCTTCAACAAATTATACTGCGACAACTGCATGTGAACATGTAGAAGAAAGCTATATCTATCATATTGCCCCAAAATCAACTCCAAATCGATCAAATACCTCAATGTAAAACTGCAATGCTGAAATGGCTAGAAAGAAATACAGGCAGTACCCTATATGAATACAGATGTAGAGAGGACTTTCTGAACGGGACACCTTTTACCCAGAAATTAAGGTCAACAACTGAAAAAAATAGGACCTCAAAAAGTTAAAAAGCTTTTGAATAGGAAAGAAAATTCTCAGTTGAGTGAAGAGGAAGCCCTTAGAGGGAGAGAATCTTTGCCAGGTATATATTTGATAGAAGGTTGATATCTAGAATATAAAAGAATTCAAAGAAACAAATGACAAAATTGAAATTAACTAAAACTTAGGAGCTGAAGAGATGGCCCAGCAGTTAAAAGCACTGGCCACTCTTCCAGAGGAACTAGTTTCAATTGCCAGCATCCACATAAAAGTTGACAATTGTCTGTAACTCCAGCTGCAGGGCACCTGGCATCCTCATACAAACATGAATCCAGACAAAACACTAATGCACATAAGTCAAAAAATTAAAAGAAGTACAATTAGTAAAATACATAAATTAACTATGTGGGTGCTCAACGTCAACTGATATGTCTACAACACACCCCCTATACATGAGGCTGAGAGAACATCACATACAGGGGCAGAAAGATTGTAAGTGCCAGAGGACCAGGATGTCTGAGGTGACCGTGGGAAACTGCGCCTAGGAAATCTCAAAAATCGGTGACCTAAGCAAGACAAGCACACTGGCAATTCCAGCTCACATTCCAGTGAGGATGGCAAAAATTCACAAGACCCCATCCATAACTAAAGATTTACAGGGAATTAAGGCTGGTGAGAAAGGGAGAATCAGTTTTCTCAAGGGAAGAGACTCTGATAAGTTATGCAATCATGAGCAGTGAGCCCTAAAAACATATACATAGGAATAACACTAAAGAAGTTCAGCAGGCTGTATTCACACACACACACACACACACACACACACACACACACACACACACACACACACACACTCATACACATTTTAATCATTTTTCTCCTCTTCACTTAGATTTCTTTTGCTGAACATTTGGGAATCAATCATTTCATGGACTCAATACAGTTCCTTATGAGATTTCAAGAAGTCCCAGCCACTTCTGATGAAACTGTCACTGTGACTGAGACAACTTTCAACAGTGTTCCTGTCCGCATCTACATGCCCAAAAGGAAGTCAGAGACACTCAGGAGGGGCCTGTTTTTTATTCATGGCGGTGGTTGGTGTTTGGGGAGTGCTGGTATGTCCTCTTTGTTGAGCATTCCTGTTTGCCTCATAAAATGTGATATTTGCTTCACATTAAAAACTCATGTATGTTAGTAATAATAACATAAGTCAGTGATATATAAGAAGTAATAATGCTTCGATTGTTTGAAATGTGTTCTTCTCTGAAAGGAGAGATTGATTACTCCTAAGAACTGTAGAAAATCTCAGGTACGAAGAGGAAGGGCTTCTTGAACACAGGGCTTTATTATTGCAGGATGCTGTGAGAAGAAGAGCAGGGTGAGCTAGTAGCAAGTAGAGATGGTGACTGTGCTCTCTTATAATGAGGGAAACAAGAACAAAGATGTTAGGTGTGAAAAGCACAGAGCTGAACGTGCTATTTTTTCTTGGTATTATATATTTCCCTTGTTACATATAGACTGTATAATACAATATTTTACCACATAAAAGTATATTTATTATAATTTTGCTTTACTGAATGTAAATATATAAAATATAAATAATATAGCCAATATATCTTATATATTTTATAATGTATATATTTTATAATAACACCAGGAGGCTACGAAAATTTTATAAGTTGATTTTTAGATAGTGGCATATGAGGTATCCTGGAATTTGAGTTGTGATTAAGGGATTAAGTACATTTGGCCTTGAGACAATGGGAGGTAATTGTGGTTCTCCTTCTTCCTTGGGGATCATCAGCCACTGGTCCATGAGGTTGGAGGCAGCAGAAGTAGGGAACAGGGTTCAGACAGCTGTGGATTTGATGGAGATAGCCCTCAATTTTGAGAGCAGGTCTTTGCAGAGTTTTTTGAGGGTGTTGACATTAGCTTCAACAACATCTGATTCGTTTATGTAGAGGCAACATTCTTGCCCCGATACCAAAGAAGTCGCCCCATGTTCAGCATGTTATGAGATCCAGTGCTCTCCTCTTTGGAGCACAACCCCGGTAAGAGAACGCATCTGTTGCTAGAGGGATTCAAGGCTGTCAGTCATGGATGTCATCGCCTGATTGTATCTGTCTCTGAAGTCCCAAGACAGATGTTGTGTCTGGAGGATGGCAGTTGTTGCAGCCCGGGTAGATCGAAGGGAGATGACAAGTCCTATTCTCACCAGTAAAGGAAGGACTAGCTCTCATCTTTGGTTTGTAGCAGTAGTGTTCCTTCCTCCTCCTCCTAAGGATAGAGCTGGGGAGCAATCACAGTGGGGGTGCAAAACGCTGGCAGAGGCGTGTCTATGCAGGCTATCTTTCCCTTACTCCAAATAGGAAGGAGAAGAGCGGCACATTTCAGCTTGGAAAGAGTGATGGCAGTGAGACGTTGGTAATGTGTAGGTTTGTCCAGGCTGGATACGCAAACTGGACAGCTAGTCAAATAGGAGACTATCAGATGGGCAAGAACCAGTGGAATCTTTTGTGGTCCTGGGGTAAAGGAGAGTGGTATTGACCAGTACAGCTGTCAGCAGAGGTCTATTGCTGGATGCACAAAAGAAACAGTTAGAGGTGTTAGGGTGGGTAGTGAAAGGGGGAAAGTCAGCAGCATATTGAGCATAGTGTGGCCAGCGTGGACTGAGCAATGCTTCTTATATTTTTGGTTGTGAGCCTAGCCTTTAACGGCTGAGCCATCTCTCCAGCCCGAGCAATGCTTCTTAGTTGTGTCTCCTGTTTAAGAATATTTTATGGGCTAGTGTGGATGAGGGGGTCCACAGCAGCTGGTAAGAAATATGAATATCAAGAGAGGGATGTGCAGCAGAATCCATGGGATATAGTTTTCCCACGACTCCTGTTTTTCATCTTCCATTCCAGGGGTGATAATGGTGAGATGGTTATTTAGGTTTTGAAACAGAAATGGCATCCTTGGTTGGGGCAGTCCAAGGACTCAACCTCCTGGATTTTTGCCCTCATCGATTTCCTGAAGGGAAAAAATGCCAGTAGTGGGTGTTGGTTTGATAATTAGGGGGTTGAGCATAGGCAGGACAGGCCTGTAATCTAGCAGAGACCAGAGATTGTTTTTAAAAGAGCAGAGAGGGATGCTTGGGAGAAGAACATTTGGCTTTGACAGTGGCCATCAGATTTTTGTTGTTTTTCAAGAGGTGCCATTTTTCCCATATCCACTGTCCCTGATTGGTCAGTGAGAAGTAGGCAATCTTTCTGGTCATCAGGTGATGTCAGACATTTCTGGATAGGACCCAAATAGGCCTCAGTTGGTCCTTTCTGTGGAACAAACACAAACAGAAAACTTTTTCCGTTGTGAGGAAGGGGTTAGGTCCCTTCCACATTCCATCTCTGGCATAACTCCATCATACCAAGATGGGTTTTTGGAGTTTTTGTAGATATTAATATAATTAGGGTAGCCAGGGCCATTGTCAACTGCATGTTAGGGGTGTAGATGTTCATTTTTTTGTTGTTAAGTTGAGCATTTCGGAGTTTGATATGGTTTTTCTATGATCCCTTAGCCTTGGGGATTGTAAGGAATCCCCGTGTGGTGGGCAATCTCCCATTGTAAGCAAAGGCCTTGAATTGGGAACTGATAAAGGTAGGACCATTGTGAGATTTTTTTTTTTTTAATTTAGGACAGGGAATGTGAGCCATGCCTGTAACTGGTAGGGACTGAGGGACACTGGGAGAACATGGCAGCCAAGTCCAGCTTTGATATGTTAAATAGGCACCTCAGCCTTTTGTCCCAGGTTTGAAACATATATAATATGTGTGTGTGTGTGTGTGTGTGTGTGTGTGTGTGTGTGTGTGTGTGTGTGTGTTAAAGATAAAAAGTAAAGCTAAAAATTAGCTTAAATTTTTAAATACTGACCAAGATGGAATTTAGTCAGGACCACCATCTGCTATGTGGCCCTAAGATGTGTGTCGTTGGGACTTATATGGACAAGACCATTCGTCACCATACCTTTTTATAAGGCTTTGTTGTTGCTTTTTTAAGAACTACAAATTTCAGAATCCCAGGAAGTTACCTGGTCCTTGGGCAGGTGTTATCTTTCTAAAAACTCTAATTCCCAGAATCTCAGGAAGTTACTTCATCTCTTGACAGGTGCTATCTTTTAAGAAGTACAAGTCCCAGAATTCCAGGAAGTTACCCCGTCTTTGGGCAGATAGGACTTATAGGTTACTTCAGGTCTAACATCCCCCCTGTGCAGCTGTATCTTGGGTCAAATATTTGACTCTATGATGGGAACTGGTTTACATTAGGATCTAATAACCATCAGGTTAATGACTCCAAGACAGGAACTATCATTTAGTTATTACATTAATGATGTAAGAGCCAATAGTAATTAACAAAACAGAATGGCCAAAGGCCCCATGATTGACAATATCTCTTATAACCACTTTTTTTTTTTTTTTTTTTTTTGTATATCAATTGACATCATAAGTAGTCATTTTTGTCCCCTATGTCAGGGAGTTTTCTTTTGACTTAGTGTTATTTAGCAACTGATACCGGGGCAGGGATGATGAAGTCTCTTCTGCAGCTCCTTCCAGCTAAGCTGGGAAATGGGTTGTCAAGGTCTAGGAAGGCTAACCAAAGACTGGGCAATGGGGTGTTTGTCAGAAGCATCGGATTATCTGCTCCCGGTGGAGGGACAAGGAGCATTTCTATTGGCTGGACTGCTTCATACCAGCTTTCAGCAAGTCCAGAGCTCAGCAGTTTGAAGTTTGCAGGTGCTCCCGAGATTGTGACTGTCAACCAAGTGGAAACCAGTTGAGTTATAGACTGGACAGAAATGTCTTCAGTTTGATGGGAAGCACCCTTCCGTCTGTAGAGGACAACCAAAAGAAACATAAAATCTTGAGCTTGTGACTAATTTTAGAGCTAGAGTAATAGCTTGTCAGAAATCCACTGGTTAATGGTAAAACTCTGAAATTTTGGAACATTAGTGTAACAATAGCATAGAAGGGAAAAGAATTCTGAAACATTTTATATGCCTTTAGCCATCTTTATATCTTTACAAATTGTATCCCCCCATTTATCTTAAAACACCTTTTAGATCCTCATAACCCAGGTCTTAATGTTCTCAGACCTCTGTAACTTGCATGTACACACATTAATGCATCTTCTTAGACCCTAAAACATTTTTACAGATCCTCACAACTTAAAGTTTAAACTTTACACCTTTTTTTTCTACCTAATCATTTACCAGGAGACACAGGTGATTGATTGCTAAGCGAAGGTATAGTAGAGTAAATTCTTTTAAATAAAAGAATAGGAAACATTTACATTGAAGCCTGTTTTGTGAATTAATCTCATATCTCTGAGTCTGGTAACAATGTAAACCTTGTCTAGACCTAGTAGTAGCTCTAGGAAATTGAGGCCTGTGGCCTGAATTTTACACACAAAGATAACAGAAGGAAGCTGAAGCGTTGGGAAAAGAAATGGGAGCTTGTTGTTAAATCCACTTATTTACCAAGATTGTATTATAATAAAACCTTTTATGAACTTAAGATGTTTACAGCCTTAAAAATAGTAAATATTTTTAAAAGCTGTTTTTTAAAGTATATCTAGCATTTTTGTAATTTAAATGTAAAATTTTAAATTTCTTTCTTAAAAAGGTTTAAGATCTTTCAAAAACAAGGTATCCTTTTTTTACTTCAAGAGGAAAAAAACAGGGCTCAACCATAATCCACATAAGGTAAAAACAAGCTCTAAGATTGTAGATTATTTAATATTTGAGATTTATTTATAAACTTTATTCTTAGGACAGGAATTGTCATACAAAAAAATCTATGCTAATATAAAATATGTTGGAGATCTATTATAGTCTCCTTTGTAGGCCGTCTCCATGTGGTCACTTTTAAATTATATGGTGGTAAGGCCACATGGCATTCATCTTCTCCAACCCTAGCAAAAATGGTGACCAGTCACGTGGTTCTTTAGAGATGGCAGAAAGCCACGTGTTACTTATATGCTTGAATGGGATCAAGGCACATGGTCTCTTTTAAGATTACTTATGTATAGAATTTTAACTATCAACCATGTATTACTAATTTTAAGTTAACCCTTTTTATAGGTTTAACAGAATTTTAGCCAAATCCAATAAAATGAATCTTGAAGTATAGAATGTTTACATAAATCAAGTCTAATTTTTTTGGTTGTTCTGCTTTGCTCTCTGTGCCAGGAGATTCAACCAGACACAGGGCATAGAGGAAACTTCTAAACGTGCTGGAATCTAGAGACAGAGAGAGCCAGACCCCAACTCTAGAAACAGCTTTTGAATAAAACAGAACACCAAAAAACATCTTCAATGTTTTCTGCACCAAAAGGATACCTAAACATTTGTTAACCCAAATCTGTGACCAGAGAGCTCAGAGGTATATTCTGAGGTCTGGTCATAAGGGTGGTGACTACAGAGATAAAGGAGATGGTAGAGACAAAGACATCAACCCATTTCTGTTTCCAAGTCGGGGAATAGTCATGTGTACTTTCAATACCTAAAATCTGCTAAATGTGAAGGAAACACATGGATCTTGAAGAGAATGACTGATTTAGACTAGGCAGTGTGAAGCTAAGAGAGCAAGCCCCTTGACTGTGTCTATGTGAAAAATGCTCAGGATGTGTTATCTACGTTGATGATAAAGTGCTGCAAACAGTAGAAGCATTTGCAGACCGTCTTCTCTGTGAGGAGCAATGTGCGCTGTTGTGCCTCTGCTGACAAGCTTCTCCAGAAGGTGGCTTGCAGATCTCTCACTCTGTGTTCTCAATTTCAGCTTTTGTTAACTACGACCTTCTGGCAAGACAGACAGCTGATAGACTTGATGCTGTTGTCGTGTCAACCAAGTAAGACTGGTTTGCTTCTGTGTTCAGTCATGTACTTTGTGTGGAAAGAAACCAACACTCTTGGCCATTTGGATTGGTTTGTTTTGGTTTGGTTTGGTAATTCCTGGAATATTTCAACTGAAATTAAGAGTGTGAGCAAAGAGAAAGTGAACTTGAGTTGGAGAGAATGGAGCCAGAGATAACAAAACAAAAAAGGTGAACAAAACACTTAAATCAACCAGGAACCAAAATAGAAAGTTCAGAAATCATTAGAACACATTAACATTGGTGCAATACACACACCAATGACCCGCATGGAAATGATACCTTAGCTTCTTCCAACAGAGTGATTACTTAGAGAATCACAGGCAAATAAGGTTTGAAATTTTGCCTTGAGTCTTTCTTTATACATTTCATATATTATTAATTCAGTTTAATCTATCCATATGTGAACTGAGAATCATATATTTTCTACACGATATGGTCTTTCTGAGGATTACACGGTAAACTGTACTTAAGGGATTAGTTTACTGTATGTCATGGCATAATCATCAATGAAAACAATTAGTCCTCAAGCTACATGCGGAAATAGGCAAATAGCATACTAAGCCAATAACTGATAAACAATTAATTTGATAGGAATGAAAAGAAAAATGAAGTAATTAATAAAACATAGTGATCACATACCCATTTGATACTAGGTGAAGTTCAAACATGAAATTAATAAGATTTTTTTGTCATTGATTAATTTCCAATAAAGTATAATAATAGTAAAAAGAAGATGCTGGGAAATGTATTATCTGCTATATTTTTCATTCTTTTATTTTTGCCTCAAGGTGAATTCAATTGGTTTGCTCAAGTTTTTACTAGTATAATAATGAAATCAGACAAGGTTTTGGGATGGATTATGTCTGTGGGTATATAGCTAGCAATAATATTTGTTTATTAAAGTAAAATTAGACTTTTATTTTAGAGAGATACCATATAAATTTTAATTTCATTCATTTGAAATAATTCTTCTTCACACAGCTATGGCTTAGCCCCCAAATACCATTTTCCACATCAGTTTGAAGATGTGTACAGTGCCTTGCGATGGTTCTTACAAGAAAACATTCTTGAAAGATATGGCGTAGACCCTAGAAGAGTTGGTGTATCTGGGGACAGTGCTGGTGGGAACTTAGCTGCAGCTGTGACCCAACAGGTTTGTTTGGGATCTTAAAACACCCTATATGTAATTATATTTGCCTCAACATTTGAAAGATCAGTGAAAACATGCTATTTTAATACCATGTGAAAATATTAGAGAAACACCTGGACTGATGTCAGAAAACATTTTGTCTATATAGTTTTTCTAAGATTGTTCTATGTCAACATTTTCTTTTATATATATACCATGACAGAACACATTTTCTAGTCTGTTGCTTGAATATGATTATTATAGTCAGTTATGTAATATCCTTTATTGTTATATTAGGGGCTGTACTAGTAAAGTTGATTCATGAAACTGATTATCCTAACTGAGAACATGGTAACTGTAGTATAGACAATTGGAGGATGCCAAAACTGATATAATATTTCTTGGTATCAGAATAATGAAAATTTCCAAAGGAATAAGTTATTCCAGAGAACTACGAAAGTAATTAGTAGGTTTATAGTAACCTTTTGCTTGGCAAAGGATTGATAATTTTCAGATCTGAATTGTTCATAAAATTTCAGGGTATTTAGCTAGTATGAGCACATTTCATTTGCCACACACTGCTACACTTAAGGTAGCTTTTTTATTACCAGAGAAAAGAAGCTACACGTTCTGTGGTTTGTTCTGATATCCTGTAAATCAAATATACAGTAAATCCCATGGTTTGAATTCTACACAACATGTGCCTCACTTCTCTGGAAGACAGCATGGTAAATATGAGATACACCTCAAGAGTCAAGAACTTTTGGAACTAAATCAGTATCTGACTATGGGCTTGCCCATTTTTCCTAATTTCTTTAAGCACACATTTGTTTTCTCTGTTACATTATAAACCCTTCTTTTATATGTTACAGCTTCTGTAGTTTTTAAATAATTCTGATCCATAATTATTTAATATCTGTATAAAATACCATATAATATGCTATGGACCATCACAGACTAAAAAGAAGCAGAGCATTCCTAGACCAAAACATTTTCAAGACAAAAAAAGCTCCATTCAGTAAACCTTAACATTTGTTGTCTTGTCTTCCATAATATATGCAATACTTAAAGGAACCCTCTTGTCTGAGATGAGTGTTGGTACTCTCTCAGGGTTACAGCTGTGAGGCTAAATTGAAGAACCTCCCCTCATTCATTCTCCTGCATAGGAGGACATGCATAAACTACCCCCTCTATAATACACTGAAATGATCAGCTCTCAGTGTCAGAGCTAAACAATGTTCATAACAGTTAAAGTTCTGCTTCTCATCATCTTCCTTGATTTTGGCTGAAGTTAATATGTTTAATAGTACATGACTTACCAAAATCATAAAAGTCCTTTCAGGAGAAATATGACATATTATTTCCACTGGTATTTTTGAAATTCAGTCTTGTGTATTCTGCAAAACACGTCTGCATGATGACAATAATTGTATTAGAGAGTAGACACTGACAATATAGAAAATTGGAAAATTCTGTGAGATAGTTTTGTTGTATCTGATTACCTGAATTTATCTAATTTCTACAGAGGAAAATAGAACTACTAATTAAAATATTTATTCAAATGTAATTTTAATTCCTTTTCAGCTCATACATGATACAGAAGTCAAGACCAAACTCAAGGTCCAGGCCTTAGTATATCCTGCTCTTCAGGCTCTTGATATGAAATTACCTTCATACCAAGACGGTTCATATTTTCCATTTTTACCCATCTCATTGATGGTCAGGTTTTGGAGTGAATACTTTACTACTGATCGAACTCTGGAGAAAGCCATGCTTCTCAACCAACATGTACCTATGGAATTCAGCCATCTGTTCCAATTTGTGAACTGGAGTTCCTTGCTCCCTGAGAGATATAAGGCAGGTCACTTTTATGAGAGTCCCACTCCTGGTAGTTCTGAGCTTGCTAAAAAATACCCAGGGTTTCTAGATGTGAAGGCATGCCCTCTGTTGGCCAATGACAACACATTGAGTCATTTACCTCTGACCTATATCATCACTTGTCAGTATGATGTCCTAAGAGATGATGGACTCATGTATGTCACGCGGCTTCAGAATGCTGGAGTTCATGTGACTCATCATCACTTTGAGGATGGATTCCATGGAGCATTCACCCTTCATCGTTTTAAAATTGCAGACAAGATGCAAAATCAGTACTTGAGTTGGCTTATGAAAAATCTATAGCAAATCCTACACAATGATCTGTTAAAGATATATAAGAAATAAACCAGTAAAAAAAAAATCATGGTTTTGACGTTTCGTGTACTGTTTAAAACTTCTGTTGTTCCTAAGGAGCTGATAGCTTTTGTCTTTTGTTCTTATTATTTATTATTAACAGACACTTTTCTATGTTCTAACTCATCCTTTTTTTACCTACAGACACACACCCACCTTCAAACCAGCATTTTATGTGGGTGCTGACAAATTCATGTCGCCATGCTTGTGAAGCAAGTACTTTATCAGCTGAGCCATGTCTCCAGGCCAGAATTCCATCACAATTCTACAGTACACTTTAACTATGCATTATTATTACACATATAAGAAAACTGGGGCTTAAAGAAGTGAAATAATAACATGTGTTCTAAATCTAGATACCAATTGCAAGACTGATACTCAAGTACATGGTATGTCAACACCAGTGGCTTTACATTTGGGAAACTAAATTTCATTTTATACTTCATCATTGCCATTAAATTTGATCATAATTGCCCTTTTCTCTTGATGTATACTTTAAACTATGTTTCAAAAGAAAACACAAGTATAGCATAATTTATATAGTTTCTGAAGTATCATGCTACCCAATGCTTACTTTAAATTATTTTAATGTTGATAACATTCTATCAATTCATTAATACTGAGAAGAAGCTCATCTTATTAGTTCAAAATTCATGTGCTTGTGGCAAATGTGTCTCTACTCTTATACTTAAGAGAGTGAGATTTTGCATGTGGCATTCTTTTTCTTAGGACAAAACAGTAACTTTAATTTCTGACATCTCTAGTTTCTGTTTCCATTGATTCAATGAAAATGCTCTGTATATGTGGTTAAGTTCAATACATTGTACTAAACTCTTGTACTCTTGGCTTTCTTCTCTACTGGTTGTATGAGCTTGTATACATATCTATTTCCTGCACCAGTAAAATGGCTGCAATGATGCATCCGTAATAGGATTGGGTAGCAAATAATTTAAGTCAAGTTTTGAATGAGAAATTATCGTGTTATACATAAAAACTATAAAAAATGTATTTCAGGTAAGGAGGTCCCTGGACCCTGAGACCCAAATCTACATTTTCTCAGCTCACTTAGCTCTGAGGATGACCAGCCTCAAGTCCACAGACCTCCAACTCCTAACCTACACCTTTACTCAACCAGTAAACTTCAGACGTGCAATCCTAGCCCATAGACAAAAACAACATGAAAATGCAAGGTATCATGACTCCTTCAAAATCTGATAATAAGGGATCTGATGAGTATGACCTGGAAAAATAATCAGAAAAATAAATGAAAAGAATGATTGTAACTATGTTTAAACAGCTCAAGAGAGGTCTGACTATGGCCAAAAAGAACAAAAATGTAGAGCTGAAATAAACAAGGAAGTCAATCCAAGATGCAAAAGTAGAATTCAATAAGGAGAAGTACTACAGAAAATACAATCTGAACTGATGCTGGAAACGAAAAACTCAGGAAGCCTCAAAAATACAGTGTGTCATGTAGAAAACAGAGTATTATAGCTAGAAGAAAATGCAGAAGAATGGGATCACGCAGGTAACCCAGACCCAGAAAGACAAACACGGTATTACTCACTGCTAAGTGGATATTAGATGTAAAGCACAATCCATAGCCCCATAGAAGCCAGGTAACAAGGAGGACCCTAAGAGGGACATACATGGATTGGCCTAGGAAAGGGAAATAGATAAGATCTCCTGGGTAAACTGGGGCAAGTGTAGAGGGGAGGGGATGGTCTAGTACTGAGAAGGACAGAGAGGGATAGCAATGAAAGAGTTAACTTAATGGGGTTAGGAAGAAACCTGGTGCTAGGGAAATTCCCAGGAATCCACAAGGAGGACCCCAGCTAAGACTCCTAGCAATAGTGGAGAGGGTGCCTAAACTGGGCTTCTCCTGTTTGTCATCTATGATGACCATCCTAATTGTCATCACACAACCCTCATCCATTTACTGATGGAAGCAGATGCAAAGATCCACAGCCAAGTACTGGGCTGAGCTCCTGAGTCCAGTTGAAGAGAAGGAGAAGGGATTATATGAGCAAGGGGATCAAGATCATGATGGGGTACTCACAGAGACAGCTGACCTGAGCTAGTGGAAGCTCACGGACTCTGGACTGATGGCTGGGGAGCCTGTATGGGAGCAAACTAGGCCCTCTAAATATGGTGACAGCGTATGGCTTGGTCTGTTTGTGGGGCCCCTGGCAGTGGGATTAGGATTTATCCCTGGTTCATGAACTGGCTTTTTGGAGCCCATTCCCTATGATAAGATACCTTGCGCATCCTTGATGGAGTAGAGAGGGTCTTGATCCTGCCTCAACTTGATGTGCCAGGCTTTGTTGACTCCCCATGCAAGGCCTTACTCTCTCTGACGAATGGATAGGGGGAGAAGCAGGAGGAGGGGAGGGGAAGGAACTGTGGTTAGTATGTAAAATGAAAGAAACTTAAATAAAAAAGAATTTGATCACTCAGTAAAGGTTGATAGATTTATGAAAATACATAAACAGATTAGCAGAGTTTGGGAACAGTATAAAAACAATAACCTTATACTATATATCTGTTTACAGATTGTTTATTTTTTATAATGTGAAGGCTTAGTCTTTAAGTTTTATTTAGGTTGATAAGAATTATAGGTTAATACTCACCTTGTATACTGCTTGTGTGGAATGGACAGAGTGCTTACTGTCAGCAGCTGAGGCAAGGGCACTTCTTTACCCAACAGGCCATTTTTTGCCAAGAAGAAGACAAACTCCATATGGGAGAGGGGGTGTCATTTTCTTAAAATTGCTTCCTGATGCCTAGGGGCAATGGTATCTCTGTGGGATCCTGTAGGCCAGGCGGTGGTGGCACAAGCCTTTAATTCCAGCACTAGGGAGGCAGAGGCAGGCAGATCTCTGTGAGTTTGGTCTACAGAGCGAGTTCCAGGATAGGCTCCAAAAGCTACACAGAGAAACCATGTCTCAAAACACCAAAAAAAAAAAGTGATTGCAGGGTCTGCCGGGGGTCTTGGAGAAGGGGAGCCTTCCCGGTAGGGCTAGAAGGGAACCTGCCCAGTGGCCAGAACCTGGGGCCAAGTTGGGCAGGTCTTCCCCAGTGTGGCTGGTGCCCAGGGATGGGGTCTAGGCTGAGCCCAGGCACTCACCTCTGGTCCAGAAGGGAAGTCTGGGGCAGGATGGGAGCTGGGGGCCAGTCTCTAAGTCTCAGGAAGTGACTGGGGTCTTGGGCGGATGGACGTGGGGGCAGGGCATGGAGATTGCAGGGTCTGCCCGGGGTTTTGGAGAAGGGAAGCCTTCCCGGTAGGGCTAGAAGGGAACCTGTCTGGTGGCCAGAACCTGGGGCCAAGTTGGGCAGGTCTTCCCTGGTGTGGCTGGTGCCCAGGGATGGGATCTAGGCTGAGCCCAGACACTCCCATGGTAAATGAAGACCACATGAGAATAGGAAGAAGCAAAGTGCTAGAGAGGCCCACAGAAATCCACCAAGATATCCCCACAATAGACTGCTGGCAATGGTCGAGAGACAGCCCGAACTGACCTACTCTGGTGATGGGATGGCCAAACACCCTAATTGTTGTGCTAGAAACCCCATCCAATGACTGAGGGATCTGGATGTAGAGATCCACGGCTAGGCCCCAGGTGGAGCTCTGGGAGTCCAATTAGCGAGAATGAGGAGGGTTTATATGAGCGAGAATTGTTGAGACCAAGGTTGGATAAAGCACAGGGACAAATAGCCAAACGAATGGAAACACATGAACTATGAACCAGTGGTTGAGGGACCCCCAACTGGATCAGGCCCTCTGAATGGGTGAGACAGTTGATTGGCTTGATCTGTTTGGGAGGCATCCAGGCAGTGGGACCAGGTCCTGTGCTCATTGCATGAGTTGGCTGTTTGAAACCTGGGGCTTATGCAGGGATGCTTGGCTCAGTTTGGGAGGAGGGGACTGGACCTGCCTGGACTGAGTCTACCAGGTTTATCTCCTCGGGGGAGGCTTTGCCCTGGAGGAGGTGGGAATGGGGGGTGGGCTGGGGGGAAGGTGAAGGGGGTGGGGGGGGGGAGAACAAGGGAATCCGTGGCTGATATGTAGAACTGAATTGTATTGTAAAATAAAATATAAAGAAAGAAAGAAAGAAAGAGAGAGAGAGAGAGAAAGAAAGAAAGAAACTAAAACAATAGTTAAGTCTCATAAGCACTAACTGTAACATTTGTAGTGCCAGTCTCAGAGTAATAGGTAAAGCTTATCTGAAGTTCTGGCTAGAGGTGTAAGATGATGCATTATCTTAGTTAGCTACCTTAGAATTGTCCTGAACAATTGGTTGTCCATAGCCAATCTTTGAGTGGTGTTTATCGGCTCAATGGCATTATTATGAACCAGGTAGAATCGTTTTGGGGGGCCCATCTTCCTTCTGAAGACTTCAGAGATCACTGTTAGGAAAATTTGTTGTTCACTGTGGAAAAGTTAAACATTATTAATATCAAAATGGAAAGTTTAAATTTATTTCTAAAGAAAGGTTGTTCCAAAGACTCAAGAATAAGTATGAGGAAAAATAGAATTTTGACAATAGTCCCTAGATTTTGGGAGAATCAAATTCGTAAAAACAATCAGTTGCGTCCTTCCTCACATTGTATGGAGAACATCAGTCTCTGGAGTCCCTGCATTCTATAAGGATGCAAATAAATCAGGAAAGGCAGGATATAAATGAGGAGATTTAATTAAAGTGGTTCAAAGCCCTTACAATTCCGTATAAAAGTCAGAATCTATATGCCATTCTTATGATACTAATGGACTTCACAGAATTTCTTAATATAGTTACTGACTCTCAATATGCAGAAAGAGTTATTTTACATATTCAAACTGCTGAATTTATTACTGATAAAACAGAATTAGCTTAGCTATTTATACAATCATAGGAAATGATCAGAAATAGGGATATATATATATATAACACATCAGATCCCATATGGGTCTG